CACACACACACACACACACACACACACACACACACACACACAAAAATGGCATTGTTGTGTAAACGGATCGTTGACCAAGCAGCATACTCTCAAGGTTATTCCAAATGTCCATCCGTGTTCATTATATTTAATGACGTTAAGGAGGTTGAGATTTGCGTATTCTGTTATGTGCACGTAATGTGCAGTTGAAACAGAAGCACATTTATTATGCTTGTGAAGAAATACTTTTTGTGCCTTCTTGGAAGAATCACTAAGAAACCTCCACTCACTGTATAAGCTGTAGCATGTAGATTAGTGACTAATGGTGCAGTATTTTTGCAGAAGTAAAATGAAATATCCTGGGGAAAGATTTGAAACAAATTCCTGCACATAATTTCAGTAAATTATGTTGCAGCAGAAAGAGGTCTTACTTTGGATTGTGGATCCCAAGACCTCTGTAGAATGCCCAACGTGGAAGATATTTAGGTTACTCAGCTTTGATGTGGTATATATGGCTGAGGGTATTACAGGCTAGGGGATATTAGCAGAATCTGAAGGGGTGGTTACCTTTAAGGAATAAGGAGTGATATTAGCCACAGGATTTGTTTCTTCCCTAACATGGCACTTTCCTCAAAGGACGTAAGTACAGAGATTTGATACCCATACCCAAGTGTGTTCCATCTGATTCAGGCTAGGAGGGTGAAGGTGGACAGAGGTACAAGAAGTGGTGACTGCACGGAGATTTAAGGTAGATTTCTGCCCTGTAGTGGTATACCACAGTAACTTGTGGCGTCAGTTCAGTCTGGTTATTGCCAGTCTGCATCTATAGCAACACAGTAATCTCCATCATAAATACCTGCATATGGTGGGCAAAATTAAATGTCATTTTCTGACTCGCTGTACTGAGATTACTATGAAGCATGTACAATTCTGCAGACAGTGGAGTGATCACAGATGAGTGTCACTGGTCTGATACCCAGAACTGTCAGAATTATAATGAATAATAAAGTCATTTGAGTTTAAGCAGACAGACCTCTGATGTAGAAGCCATACTTATTTAGGGTGCCATGCATTACTATTACCCTATTACATCTTCATTCCCACTGGATTAATTTTATGAATATCAGTTTTTAATTCATTATTTTGTTTTATTAATGAAAAGCAGCTGTTAACGGGAGGAACATAGGACATGCAGAAGTGACTTTTATGCATTTCCTATTTTCATTTACTTGGTATTATTAATGCTGAATATTTTTCTATACAGCAATGCCAGAAATTGTCATTTTTAGATAACTGTTATCTCAGTGAAGGATTTTTGACTCATTGGGATACTTCAGTGAGTTCGCTGTGCTGAGGAGGGCATCATGTCACTGGATTAAAGTTGAAATACAGTCAACTCTCGATTATCTGGGATAATGGTGGGCATGGAAATCACGATTAATCGAAAACCCTGTTAAGACAAATGTTATTAACTCTTTGACTGGCGCGGGCGTGTTTTAACGCCTGGACGATGCCAGCCATTCCCTGGCGTTTGCGTGTTTTAGTGCTTTGACAATCTCTTCCCTTCTTTGCTCTCTTGACGCTCATCAACCAAAGACATATATATGATAGTTTTTGTGCATGGTTGTAAAGAATCCTTGTAAACTTTGTGGGGGTCTATATTACTGTCAGAACCCTCTGAGAATGAAAAGTTCAGGAAATATTTCACATTCATTCAGTTTCACCATGGCTTCTCGCAGCAAGTGTTGGCGTGTTCCTACAGACCAGCTGGAAAGTGTTGTGAATGAGATTTGTGCTGATGATGATAGTGGCGATGAAATAATGATTCCTGAATTAGGTGAAGTTGATAGTGACAACAATACAGTGATAGGCAATGATCCACAAGACAGTAATCATGAACATTTTCCTACCACGAGTGCGGCGCCAGACGCCCATCTCATGGACGTACGGAGACATTGTACCAACAGTAGTTCCATTTACTAGTAGTTCCGGGATCAGAATTGATATAACACATAAAATGCACCCCTTTTCATGGATTAAAATTTTTTCTTGATGACGACTTAGTAAATCACATCACAACTGAAACCAATCGCTATTCACACCAGCACTTCAACACACATGAGTTAGCTCCTCACCCTCGAAAACACAATTACAAATCTGTCACACCAGATGAAATCTGGACATACTTAGGAATTGTATTCATGACAGGAATCGTCAAACGCCCTGAAATTGAAGAATTGGTCCACTAAGCCCCTGTTTCACACTCCATGGTATGGACAAAACATGTCTTTGCAGTTGAATAGTTTCATTCTATTCAAAAAGAACACAACAAACGAAAAATACAAGAAGAGAAATTACAAATTCAAGGATTTTATATTGGACTGTGTAGAAAAATGACTGAACCAAACAAACAGTGTGGAGAGGGACAAGAGTCAAGGAATGAATGCGAATCTGTTGCGTCAGACTCGAGTACACTCACGCCCCCACCCGCGACCTTGAAAAGACCACCAGTGAAAGAGCCAGCAAATCGTCTAGAGGGTGGCCTGAAAATTCACAAAATGGTCCATGTTCCTCCCAGTAACAATAAGAAGAATGGTGTCCTGAGAAAGTGTCGCATGAGTGCTAAGCACAAGATTAGAAAAGAAAAAAGTGTCATGTGTGCAGGCTGTGGTGTGGCTCTCTGCAAACTTTCATGTTTCAATGTTTATCACATGAAGAAGAACTACTAAAGAGGTATGGAAAGGCATTTATTGCATAAAATATTGTCTTTTTATTAGTTCCTGAAAATTTAGTTTTTAAAAACCAATTTTGTTGAAGTTGTTTAGAAACAAGTAACTACATGCATTTTAGCGACATAAGGTTTAAAGGGCCTGCCAGGACAGGGGTGGGATTTAAATACCCTTCGCGCCAGTCAAAGAGTTAAAAGTAATACGGTAATACTGTACCTTCATAATACTATAGGCCTACCTGTATTTAAATTTACTCAACCTCATTTTTATGTCATCTCATGGCCTATTTAATACTTTTTTTTACATTATACTGAAGTGTGAATTAGTTATTTCAATCACAGTGTTCTACACCATCCAGCACTTTTTATGAATATTCACACTTAACACTTAATTAATATTTTCATTTGCTTTTCGCGGCATTTTCCTTTTTACGGATATCCGTACAAAGCCTACATAATATTAGCTTGTCACTTAATAAACTGTTCTCTTCACTCTCAAGATAGTCTAGTAAGGATTCCAAATGATTAAGAGCAGCACCATGTGATATTTTCTTACTAGCAGCACTGTCCACCTCTTCCTCATTCTCACTTTCTTCCCGCTCTTCTGGCTTCACCCCCACTGAACTTACGTTTTCGTCACTGCTTAACATTTCGAAGCCCGGCTCACACGAGTTTCTGTTGAATACTTAACACAACACACTTCCTTTTACACCCTGACATTTTGCTAACGCACTTGAAGATCGATAACTGGGGCGGTGTATCTGTCCTTGAAACTTTCCACAAATCCTTGCATTCTTTCACCCCTACCCTAGAACATTGTGTTAGCATAACGGGACCAAAGAATGCAGAGCTCGGTTCACACTAGTGCGAAAATAGTGTTACAACTCACCATGTGAAACAAAAGTGAATGAATATTAAACAACATATAAGCCCCAAAAAAGCCTCAGTAGCCCCGGTTAAGCCGCAAACTGGTTAATTTGCCTCCGGATAATCGAGAGTTGACTGTAGTTTACTTATTGGATGACAAATATAGTAATGGTAAACCTGTATTTGGTATAATTTTATATATTAATTTAGAAATATTTGAAATACTTTCATGTGAGAATTATTAGGACTGTGTTTGAAATGCCAGTCTGTTAATAACCAGTTATTGAATGTTGATTGTAATCTGCTTGGAATGGGCAAGAGCTACTACATTTTTTCCCCCTGCAATCATCTGTCTTAACTATGTCAAGAAAATTCATAGGAATGATGCTTGTTTTGAATATTTGCCCATGAAACAGTACCAATTAAAATTGGCAGGATGGTTCTGAAGTTAGGTGTTAGTATTTGTAGACAAATATTCTTGGAGTATTTGTGCTGTATGAAGTAGTCTGGATGGTTGAAGGGTTGACAGTGTATGATATATTGCAGATACTATCGTGGTGCTGTGGGAGCATTGTTGGTTTATGATATTGCAAAACATCTGACATATGAGAATGTCGAACGATGGTTGAGAGAGCTGAGGGACCATGCAGACCAGAATATAGTTATCATGTTGGTAGGCAACAAATCAGATTTAAGACACCTGCGAGCTGTCCCAACAGATGAAGCCAAAGCATTTGCTGAGAGAAATGGACTCTCATTCATTGAGACATCAGCTTTGGATTCCACAAATGTTGAAACGGCCTTCCAAAATATTCTTACAGGTAATCATGGCTATTGGATGTATATTATATGTGATATGTGAAATATTAGTAAAATGAATAGTCTCTTGCTCTCTTAAATACTCCTCCATTCTATAACAATTGAATTTTTACCTAACAAGGATTTTTTTTTAATACAAGATATTTTTGACTCCGAACTAGTGCTGAGGTTAAGAATGGTTGGATCTATACATCCATTCCCCCATACACCTTCATGGTATAATGCTTAATTAGTTAAGCACAGGTACAACTCTGCCTTTACTCTTGTGTATAATATTGATGACTGCTTCAGTTCCTTGTTACTAAATTTACTGTCTGATTGTAAGTAATGTAACATGAATCTGAGAGAGAACAAGTTTTTAATTAGTTAGACACAGGGACAACTTTACCATTACCTTTGTATGTAATATTGATTTATGCAGTTTCTTTTTACTGAGTCTACTGTATGGTTGTAAATCTTGTAACATGAACCTCAGAGAGAACAAACAGCATGAGGATGAAGAAGGATAATGAATAGCATCATGATTTGTAGACCTTGCCAAGTGCTTTTAGCCCCTATTTACACTTTTCTTTCCCAGGCATATGTAGAAGGAACTTAGGAGTTGCACAGAATGCATTTATATGTGTGTGCAGTAGATGCAGAAATATGTTCTGTACATCACCAACTTCATGAAGCCTGTGAGGAAACAAATACTGATTTGGGTGATTAAATGAATCAGAATGAGGTGTGTGGAACATGTACCATGCATGGGAGAGATGAGAATTCGTGCATAGTTTGGTCAAAAACCTGAAAGGAAGAGGCCATGTGGAGGAACCTAGATATTGATGGGCGAATAGTATTAAAAATGGACTTAAAAGAAATGGGATGTGGACTAGATTTAATTGTTCCTACTAGTTTACTCAGATTGAGGTTACAGTCCTATATTTTACTGGTTACATTTCCTTTTAATAAGTCAGAGTCAGGATATGGGAAGTGTAATGTTCTTTGTACTTCAGGGATTATTTTGTGTCAAGTTAATTGGCTTTCTTAATTTTAGGTAGATACATGGATGGGAAACAGACTTTTTTTTTACCATTTGCAGTCAGAGTGGTATGAGGGATAGTCAGTAAATAGATCACAGATGGATATAAAATGTAAAATATGTGATATTCGAATATGGGAAAAACATTTATTTCTCCACTTATCCTCCACTAGCATTGATACACTTGTCCCATCGCTTTACCAATGCATTGAAAGCCACAGCATAGAAGTCTTCTGACTGTTGTCTTAGCCACTTCAGCACCTTTGTTTCATCCTCTTCGCCATCAGTGAAACATTTGGCACCAAGGTGTTTTTTTTAGCTGATCAAACAGATGGAAGTCACTAAGGACCAGGTTCGGGCCTGCGCCATACCTCAAGCGGTTAGTCACTGGCTTCCCACCGCGGCGGCCCAGGTTCAAACCCAGGTCTGGTCAAGTGGGACTTGTGGACAAAGTGGCGCTGGGGTAGGTTTTCTCCGAGTACATCCGTTTCCCCTGCCAGTCTTCATTACACCAAATTCTCCATCATCATAATCACCTGGGGCAGACACAATAGGCCAATCAGTGGCCACCATGCCGCGTGGACCCAAGTGGACTCCACCCCCACTATGCATATTAAAGAAAAAAGGACCAAGTTCAGGCTGTAGGGCGGATTTTAGGAAGTTCCCTCTGTAGTTCTTGAATTCTCTGCTGGGTTTCTCGGGCTGTATAGGGGTTTGCATTGTCATGAGGACGCAGTACACTTCGTGCAAGTTGGCCTGGACATTTTCTTTGAATTGCATCCTGAAGCTTTAACAGAACATAACAGTGCGATGGAGAAGTCACATTTTCACCACACTTTTGAAAATGGGTTAACAGCAGTCCCTGAGAATCCCCAAACACGTTAAGCATAACATTCCCAGCTAATGGCATAACCTGAAATTTTTCAGTTTAAAGTAAATGGGGATGTTTGCATTGCATTGAAGCGTGATTTGATTCGTGATGATAGTGAAACACCCATGATATTGTCCCCAGTAACAATCCTGTTAAACATATCTTCTCCTTTATCTGCGTGCCATAACAGATGTTGCAAGGATAGACCCATTTGGTTATTTTTTCTCGGTCCTTCAGTTCTCTGGGCACCAATTGTATGCACATTTTCTGAAACTTCAAACGATCATGCATTGTGTACGCGTATGCAAAACGATTGGAACAGCCTATGCAGTTACTACACTGTTATCATTATCCTCCTGTCAGCCCAAATCAGCTCTTCCACCCGCTGCACAGTTCCTTCTGTTGCAATCTCAACAGGGTGATCTGGTCGGACATCATCTTGTTACTGAGCTTGTCGAAGGTCACCAGCTGGCGCATGCGCGTAAGCTGGGCATGAAGAAGAAAGTTTTCAGAGTTTTCGTTTCTGATAACATAAACCGTATACATGTATGACAGTTATTTTCCTAGATATAAAAGATATAAATTTTTTATTTTTGATATCTTTCTTCTGGACGCTCTATATTACCAAAACCATTTCACTTTTATAATGTTTAATCTTTTCTCTGTCATTTCCTTAGTCAGATATTGAATATATTGCATGTTGTATGCTTCTGAGTCGTGAATACTTGGTAAGACTTGAGTAAGTTGCATTACATTGATGAGAATTTGTGGACAGTACTGTTCTTGTATGTTAACAGGAAATATTTAGGATTGTTTATGTGGAATATGTGAAAACTGAGACTATTTGTGGTCTTTTTGTATTGTTAGCATCAGCTGATTCATATGGATATAATTAGTAGATAAGTGGTGATTTCATGGTCTAACTATTCCAGTGCTGTTGTTAATTTCCTCCTCTTTGTTCTGCTATGTGTAGTATGGGAGAGTGATGCTTTCATTACATTTTTTACTCATACTTTAATAATAATAATTCTGAATATGAACATACGGATTTGGTTGTTTATCCGAAAAGATGTTAGTAAGAGAATGCAGTACATTCTGAGAATATCATTGGGTGATGCAGTTAAGATGAATAAGATGAGTGGGTAATGTATCATGCATGAGAGGGAGTTACATGCAAAATTCTAGTTGGAAAACTTGAAGGGAAGAGAGCACTATGGAGATCTGTTATCCATCCAGCCTTTAGAAAAGACTACAATTCCTGTTGTGATATTGTCACATGTGGTGCTAGTGATTAGCGTACAAGCTTCCAGTGAAGTGCTGCATAGTCCAAAATAAAGTAAAATCTATAGTTGATGCTGGAAGCAAATTGGATGGTACCGATTGTTAATGGTGAGACTAGGACTACTCTTGTTAAGAGATGTCATTAAACTACAAGAAATATGCTAACCAACTTAGTGTAAATTCCTTTGGCATATTAGTCTGTTCCCAAGACTTTGTTAGTTGCCAACTATTCCATTTGTCTGTTGTGTGAGGCATTGCTGACAGAAATTGTCGAGGCAGATTGAGAAGCACAATTTTTGCAAAATACGTTCATAAAACACCATCCATAATCAATCATTTTTTGAACACCTTTTGCATTCAGCACATCCGTTTTCATTACCGTCACATACTTTTGCAAAATGTGGACCGTGACCTGTAGGAGCCTTTAATTCAATGGAAGAACATACAGAGAAGGCTTACCTAAGGGTTGTATCTTACCTCTGCATTGTTATGCTGTGCCCCTTGTATCCATCAAGGATTTATCAGTGAACACATTATTTTATACCCCACTCTAAATTTTTTAATCTGTCTCATTTATGATGCCAGCATCCCTTTGTATAAGTACTGCTTTATTTCCTCATCTATCTGAAACGTGCATTCAGGTTAATATGAAGAATCATTGTTTTAAAACTAAGTTGGTCATGATCACTGTTCATCACAGCCAATACAGACTTCAGCATTGGACATTCATTTTTAAAGTAAAATCCATGAAAATTTCATCTTATTCCAATCCTATCAGAATCACTGAAATTATATCTCTGCAGTATATTTCTTCTTATATTTTTTCCATTTCTGCTTCTTGCGTTGAGTCACTAGTGGGCTTTGTTCACATCTGAATTTTTGAAATCATTGGCTCTTGGGGTACCCATTACCGTAGCAATTTCTTGTGCACCTCACTAACACTTGATTCATTATTTCATGTAGGTAAACACATTTCATGTTCTTTGGTTTTTGGTATCTGGCCAGAAGATTAGCTGTTGCTTTAAAATGTTGCACACAGTATGACAGTAAGCGTTACCCTTTGAAATAATTCCAACAGATGTACTGTAAATTTTGAAGTAAAATTACCATAGTCACTGGTTAACCCATCTAGAAGCTGGAAATTCAAGATCTACCATCAAATATCTAGTGCAACTTATGATGCAGTTCCCTGGTATCCCTCAATGAACAGATTAAACAGGCATTTTTAACAAAATGGCATCTAGTAGCTGTTTTCGTCAATATTGAGAAGGTCTGTGGCACAGCTTGGCAGTACGGGATTCCCCAAACCTTCAGTTTTATTTCTAATAGACAGTTTCATCCTGGTTGATATTTCACCTGCTTGTGCTGGAAATGTGTGTGAGCTGTCACTTTTTAAATGGGGTTTTAATATCACATAATCTTGGATACCAGGCCAAGTTGGTATTAGTTTCACTGAAGTAGCTGTTGCTACTGTCGGGATGCCACGTGTGAAGGCTGTATTATACATGGTATCCCAAACTCAGAATTATATATTGCACCTCTTGACTCCATTTTGCTGAAATGAAAATTAACTGGGACCATACCCAGGACAAGGTCCTGGGGGTGAAAATAATTGTGGACTCACAGAGGTCTTCTTACTGCCCTTATCGTCATGATGAGGTTGTGGTAATTCACATACCGGCCACACCCATCTTCCTCACATCGACCTTCTTCGTATATGGTAGCCTGCCACCTGTAATAATGTGCACCTCAGTGTATTACTCATTTTAGCAGGCTATTGTTGCTACACCAAACAGGTCCATTGAGTTTGCTACATACCATGCATGAAA